AAATGTAGTCTTAAAGTTAAGACCGAAAACTTAAGTCGGACTTGAGTCATTGACGCATTTTTTGAATAGATCAGGCATTTAACGATACGATTCGACGAAAACGACATTCTAAGGATTAGAGAATAAATATTTCGTTATTTTGCGGGTTTGTATCCGAAGTTTGTCACTGTTGTCAACGACTTTTAAAAAGTAAACAAATCGCCAACTTAAGTCTTTTTCGTGATACGGTTTAAGTCCCCGGACTTAAGTCGGTCTTAAAGTTAGACTGAAGTCGGTGAAGTTTTTTCGTGATACGACCCCAGAAGTGCATATAATTATTGTTCTTGTACACATATTCAAAAAGTAGAAAACAGAAACTTATTATAATAATTATGACTGAAAGAAGCGCACTATAACAAAATGAGCACATTTTGGACACTTAAAAGATAAAGAAATTATAAAAATTACACAATAACTGGAGAGCAAGATTATCATGACCGGCATAAAGAAAGTAATGTGAATAACGACTAATCTTCACTTAACTGTCTCTGATAATCTTATCGATCATTTTTGTTTGAATTATAGTGGATGACTCTCGAAAAAGAGATGCCGTTTTAACTCATGGAGAAAATAACACTACTTTTGCTTTTGTGCTTTTCAAACGGTCCGCTCTTTAAATTAAATCTTCTGTCCAACCGATTTAGACTAAAATTAAGATAGTGGGATTCATCCAGAATTATACTCAAGTGTGCTTCTTTTCTTTCGTATATACAATATACATACATATTATATATCAATAGTCAGCAATCTTCCATCATCAGCAAAGATCTAACTGCTTCTGATTTCTTAACCAAAAATGGGAAAAAAATTGTATTGAACTTTCTCTTTGTCAGTGATTCAGCAAATTTTTAAATTCAAACCTAATTTTTACTTAGGTTTGCTTTTTTCTAGTGCATAAGTGAACTTATTGAGCTTTATAAAACGATTAGTCGGTAGTAAGACTAGTAAGAATTTCATCCGTGTTTTTTACTTTTGCTTCTTCCTTCATTCAACGTCATCCACGTATTTTCTACAGTTTCTTCATATACCCCTTTTCTTCTCACAACACTGCCACAACGGATAATCCGGCAAAACTCGAACTTTATCCACTGTCGGCAGCTATCTTAAATACAGTAACATCGACAGATTCCAAAATCATTATGTCCTCTGAAGGTAATCTACATCATGAGCTTCATCAACGTCGTGGATCGTCTGAAAACGCAGAATTAAGTGAAGACATAAAGAATAGAGACGAAGATAGTTTACGGTCTGAACATGATCATCCACAAAAACGCTCTTCATCTCATCACAGTCCTACATCATTATTAACATCGACATCAACAAAATTATTCGCTTGTTTTCTGGGAATATTTGTGGCATACCTTCTATTTGGAATTGTACAAGAATCAATGTAAGTGAAACGGTGGGGATTAGTAGTAACTAAAGTGTATCAGGAGGGTGTTTCATAAAAATTTTTAAGTGCTCAACTTAACTAAGTCTAGACTTAAGCCAGACTTAAGTGTATAAAATTAACACGCAAGTGTACAAAACGGGGACTTAAGTCTAGACTTAGTTAAGTCGAGCACTTAAGAATTTTTATGAAACATCCTCAAGCATTGTAACAACAGCATGTTTTCGTGAGCTTTTACAAAACTGCTGGGGGGCGTATCACAAAAAGCTTAAGTCTGACTTAAGTCTTCGTTATGTGCACTTACGTGCTAATTTTATACACTTAATTCTGACTTGTCTAGACTTTGACTTAAGTTTTTTCGTGATACGACTCCCTGTTAGCGTTTGTGAAAGAAATGAAGTGCATGCCAACGAGATGCTCTGAAAAAACTTGAATATTTGATATTAGTAATGTGAAGATCTTAGCATTATGCTAATGATAAATTGTTTATTTTTTTCAGTGTTAAAGGCAATTATGGAACTGAGAAAAAGGATAAGTTTACATTTATAATTTCACTTGTTTTCTTTCAATGTGCGTTTAATGCAGCTGTATCAAAAATAAGTACGTTCTTTTTGCCACAGGTCGCACTATCATAGACTAGATTTTTCTTTTAAATTTTAGTTTTAATTGTTAATAAAAGTCATCGGGACACAACTCCATCGAAATTGTATGCTGCTTCCTCATTTTCATATCTTTTTGCAATGTTAGCATCAAATTATGCATTAGAATTTGTCAGTTACCCAGCACAAGTATGCCTGAACTTTTCATTTTAAAAAAAGTAACATTAATACTAAAAATTCGTTTCGTTAATCTCCTTAGGTACTTGGAAAGTCGGTGAAACCTGTGCCAGTAATGCTATTTAGTGTTATTGTTGCTAGAAAACGTTATCCATTATCAAAATATCTTTTCGTTTTATTGATCGTTGTTGGTAATTTCTGAAACATCGATTATATTTCATATTAAACGTTTTTTTGTTTTTCAGGTGTTGTGTTATTCATGTATAAAGAACCAAAAGAAGTTATTAATCAAGTGTCAGATTCCTTCTTAGGTATTGGAGAATTTTTATTGGTAGGTAATTGTTCCTTTTCTAAGACAATATGTTAAATACTATCTATTTATTTAGATTGTCTCATTAGCGTTTGACGGTTTAACCGGCGGTATCCAGGATAAAATTCGTGATGCACACAAAGTACAAGCGTATCATATGATGTATGCTATGAATATTTGGTCATGTCTATGGGCTATGTTTGGTACGTCTATTGACAGGTCATGTTTATGAACTATGTTAGTAAAGACGAAGTCATTCTTGATCTAATTGTCTTCGTCTCTTTTAGGAATAGTATTGTCAGGTGAAATTTATGGTTTAATAAGTTTTATTCAATTATATCCGCATGTCATTTATAAAATACTTTTACTTGGTATAACTGGAGCTATTGGACAGGTAACTAATTTTAATAATTCAATAGGAAAAAGGGCAGAAAAGTAAATTTAGACTAACGTTACCTTACTCTCACGATTTGTCGAATATGTAGCCGGTTTAGTCGTGCTGATAGTTAACGATTCTTGTTTTTTTGTTTAGAATTTTATTTTCTTGACAATTGAATGGTTCGGTCCATTGACGTGCTCCATTTTTACTACAACTCGTAAATTTTTTACAATATTATGTTCAGTGTTTCTATTTGGCAATCCTCTGAACACGAGACAGTGGATTGGAACTATATTAGTGTTCGCTGGTTTGACATTAGAACAAAAATTTGGAAAAAAGAAACATTGACTATTCAAAGTCATATATTTACATATATATAGAAAAGGTTTTTTTTTGTTTCTCAACGCAATATGTTGTTTTAGATCTACTTTTTAGATGCTTTTTAATTTGCGTTTGTTGTTGCTTCGTTTGACAGATATCTTATTTTTGGTGTTTTGACCACAGTTTTTATTTTCATGCAAAATGTTAATGAACAAAACATGTTCTTTGCTTACAAAAGTCAGAAGAATAGATTTGAAATTTACTTTTTCGTGATAGTATAAAGAACAGTATTAAAACCTTATGTATCTATTCTTAATCATTCGGATTTGGATAAAACGTTGGATATTGTTAGATCCACAGTAGGACTAACTATTACTGTAATTGATGGATTATGAATAAATACTTAAAAGAATTCTTTGACAAAGCTCAGAAACGTCCTTGTTTAAGTTGTTCTTCTAGTCGCTCGCTTTTTTCAGAAAAAAAATGTTAACAATCAGTTCTGTCCGAATTTCATGCTAATCTTATTCAATTCAGGCCGCATATTCGATATTTTTTTCTGTATCAAGAATGTATGAAAGAGATAAGAAACGAACAGAAGAAAAGTACGAATGACTGGCATATTGGTAAGCATTAGAGCCTTTTCTTTTTATCAACAACAGAGTTTAACAGTTATCATTTTGTTTAAAATAAAACTATAAAAGTCATAATCAAAGAAATAACTTTTTTTTAGTTATTGGGTCTGTTTATCACGAGAATTAAATAACTTTTGTTTGGTTTTGTTCGTCCTACGCTCTCCAAAAACAAAAAGAAATACAGGGTATATCATAATTATAGACCCCACATGTACATAGTAAAATGTTTATTTTATTGCAATAAGGAATGATATTGATCTGCTAGTGGTACGGCTGTGTAAGACTAATTACGTACTATCTGATGCC